CTGAGAAAAAAATTTATCAAGTTCATGTATCACAATTACGTTCGATTAGTTCTGATCGATTTGATATGTAACAAGTTATTATAATATATTACTTCGTCTATATATATTATCTATTATTATGCAACGATTGGTTTTCCTTCTATTTTACTTTCCTGTATTTTGGTTATACATTGATTTATCTATCTTTTTTTTTATTTAACTTTGTTATTAGATTTATCGTTTTTTTTCTTCTCTTTGTTTAGTTATATTTTTTTTTGATTGTCATGTTCAATTTGTCTTTATCAAATGTTCAGTCATTACCAACAAATCCACATGTTACTGATCGTATTAATAAAAAGAATGAACAAAAACATCGTTATGAACAATTGTTTTCTTTATATCATCCACGTAAACCATATGTGATTTCTTTTATTAATTCATTGGCAAGTGAAGAAGAATTAAAAAATTTATGTGATATTATTAAATGTGCAACTGATTTTATATTTGATACAGAGTCTGATATTCATTCACATATACCTGCACTTATTCAAGTTTTAATCGTACAAGAAGATCAAAAACCTCTTTTAGTTTTATTAATTGAAACAACACATTTACCTGATATATTATCATTACGTTTTCGTGAAATTCAAAAGTTATTTCAATATTTATTTCGTACTGGAACAAATTTATATTCTTGGGGTTCGTTGGAAAATGAATTAACTCGATTTCAAATTTATCAATTATTTTCTGTACCTGTTCCTGCACGAATATTTAATGTACAATATATATTTACAAAATGGTTTAATGAATATATTAATAAAAAATCTAATGATAATAATAGTAATACAACAGATAATGATGATTCAGTTATTATCAATGCACCTGAAATTGATTCAGAATTATTTTTACCACCAATAATGATGAATCATCTTAAAGTTATAAACAATGAACTATGGAGTTTACAAGATGCAATCGCATATATTTTTTATAAACATCTTTTAAAGCGAGAAACATTAAGATCCTGGTCTATCGGTTTGGACAAAAGATTATTATCACGTAATAAGAATTATTCATTAAATTATCGAAAACGTTTAATTCAATATGCGGATGTGGGTCAAAAGAGTGCCAAGAACATCAACACCAACACCCCACACCCATACCCCACCCACACCCTTCTCTAGGTATGAAGTTTTTGAATCCTCATATTAATGTTTCTTGATCTGTGCGAGTGTGTGTGGTTTCACTCTATTGTCATCCACACCCCATCCACCCACACTCACCCGTACCCTAGCCACACCCACACACCCGCCGTTTGAGCTTATATCGGGCTCACAAGGTGGTCTCAATAGGACTAGCAAAAGCCTAAAAGAGTTCGTGTTGATGGATCTTTGAAACTGAGTTATGATCGTTTTACTGTTTTTTCGAGCGATTTGTAGGTATTTACCGAAAAATCAAATAACGGAATTTCAACCTGAAATTTTATCCATAGATAGATCTAATTACCCTTAGAATATCCTGAAAGTTTCATCTAAAAAGAATACTCTTTCGTCGAGATATTGAATCTTTAAAAAAATAGTCGCTTGTCACAAACATGCAAGGGGGAAACGGCGGACTTGAAGTAGAAAAGTACGTCAAAGTAGACTACTTGAAGTAGCTCAAAGTACCACCCAAGTAGCCCAAAGTAGTAACAAGTAGCTTAAAGTAACTTCAAGTAACTTCAGGTAAATTTGAAGTTGAAAAATACTTCAAAGTAAGCTACTTCAAGTAGCTGAAAGTAACTTGAAGTAGCTTAAAGTAGCTCAAAGTAACTTCAAGTCCAAAAGTCCGCCGTTTCCCCCTTGCAAACATGGCACAAAAATAGGATTTACTTGAAAATTCAATATCTCGACAAAGGAGTATTCTTTTTAGATGAAACTTTCAGGATATTCTAAGGGTAATTAGATCTATCTATGGATAAAATTTCAGGTTGAAATTCCGTTATTTGATTTTTCGGTAAATACCTAAAAATCGCTCGAAAATTCAGTAAAATGGTCATAACTCAGCTTCAAAGATCTATCAGCACAAACTCTTTTAGGCTTTTGCTAATCCTATTAAGACCACCATGTGGGCCCAATATAAGCTCAAACTGTGGGAGACACCTTGGACGGTTCCCCTGTCAACATCAGTATTTGTCGTCGTGTTCCGCAGGCATATTCAAAGGAGTTAACTATTCACTTCACTGGCTTTCACAGCGTTTCGTCGATTTGTAGTTTCGACTACTAGAGCTTCTGTTGCTCCAGTATGCTTCAGAAGCGAGTGTCTGCGCATCATTGTCGTGTTTCCTGCTCAGTTTTGAAAACACTTACTGTCCGTAAGGAGAAGAGTGCTATAGGATCTGCATTGAAATTTACACTCACTATTTTTGACAGCGAGACCCACAACATCATCTCTGACCTGGTCTGAAAACTAGCTATGATTTCGTCTTAAAATCAACCGTAGTGTGGGCCGAAAGCATCTCTAAATTGGTTCGAAAATCAGATCTAATCTGGTCTGAAACTCAACTTTAATCTGGTCCGAAAAACCATCTCCGATTTGGCCCAAAAATCAGTTCCAATTTGATCTGAAAAAAACTATTTCTGATTCGGTCCGAAAATCCGCTCTAATCTGACATCCGTCCGATACATACTGGTTTTAAACAGCTGTTTCAAACAGACAGGCAGACAGACACACACGCACCCTCAGACAGACAGACATTTATGGTTTTAATTCACGATTCCAGACCCTAGTCTTTCAGCCTATGGAACACCTGCCACACAATTGCATAGATGAACCATGATTCATATACTTTTTGTTCTCAAAAAAACCTATAACAAGATATAACTTTCTAAGGTCACTCTTAAGGCGTAAGATAGTAGTGAAATCATTTCATTTTCGAAGTATAAAAGTAAAATATTTACAAAAACTGTTCTTTAGATTTTCTACTTGAAGTACTTTATTGCTCACGCCACATGCGATCTTTTGGATTGTAAAAAAGATGTACTTCTCTTGTCGAATCTGTCAATTGCGTTCGAAGCGTATACATTGGTTCATTGTAATTGCCTTGCCAATGCATTTCAATATAAACGTCCATTTTACCAGTACTATCGTTCACCGGCATTTTGTGTTCGATAAATTCTCGACCTGTGAGTTGTTTGGATTCGTGTTTGGACAGAGTTCCTTGTCGAACGAATATTCTCACTCTTGAAAAAAGTGTATATGGAATGTCTTGATCGACATCGAGACCCATGATCTTAATTTTTTGTTTTTGAATGGTAATACGTACTCGCCGATGAAGTTCCCATTCAAGTATGGGAATGTCTAATTTGGCCATCAAACCTCGCATAAGATCATCGCACAGGGCGTGAATATTTAATTGAGCCAATGAAGTCATTGGAGTCAATTGTAAATTGCCGATAGCCAATTTACCACCACGTTCCGCAACTGTTTGTGGAACATAAGCTGCTGGTGGGACGCGTAATGACGAGCCTAATACCAGACAAACATCGGCTTTTTCTGCATGTCCAAAACTTGCGTCGAATTCTTGTTGTGAAAGACTTTCGCCAAAGTTAATAATCGAATCCTACAATGTCGAACCGCATTTTGTACATTTGCGCGGTGTCTGATGATCATGATCTTTGATGGCTGTTCGTGTTTGATAATCGCGCCAATATTGCATGTGACAGTTTTTGCATATTTCCAAGTTCGAATTACCATGAACCTCAGAAAACAACGACGATGACAAGTCAGATCTTAGATGAAGACCGTCAATGTTTTGAGAAATAGCAAAATGAAGAAGTTTCCGACGAGCCAATGCGACAAGTGCCATATGTGTAACTGATGGAATTGCTTTTACTAAACTGATTGTACGAGCCGTTGAAGAGCGCTTAGCGTTCGGATGGTCACGAAGTTCCCACACACCTGGCCCGGTTGGTAGAATCGTATTCATACCGGATCGAAAGTCAGGAATACTATACAAAAATGGTATCCGATATTAGCAAAAAAAAAAGGAAAGATAATTTATCCTTAACTTCAACCATTAGGAAAAAAGAATTCACAATCAAAACATGGATGAGACCTTGATTTAGATATTCATTCCAGAGAGAATCAAAATCTTCTGTTTTTATCAGCAAAGCCTGAGAATTTTTTCCTATTTTTCGGTATTCAACTTCCTTCTTCTGAGAGTTCAGTCGTACTCACCCTGTAGATGTTGACACACCTGCACCTATAACAATCACAATTTACAAAGTTACTTTCGTTATTCGAAAACTTTTCTTCGGCTTACCAGTAAACACGATAAAATGCTTTGAATTACGAATCCACTCGACCAATTGGTCAAGTTTCTGATCGAGAACGTCAGGTGGATCGATAATTTCTTTTTTTGTGGGATCTTCATCTGCTATGCCATATGGTCATATCCTAATAAATTGATTAGACTTTTTTCCACCGATTGCAATCTGAAATCTTTTCGATTTATATATACTGCGTGCATGCGTCGATGTAGAGTTGACAACAATTCAAACAAGAGCGTTGGCACAACAATGACGCCTTGTCGTCATTTGCTATGTGCGCCACTGACGTGAGATTGAAAGTAAAAACAATAGAACCAGAAAAATTTGACAAAAGAAACGCATTTCGTTTTTTTCTTTTCAGAATTGATTTGAAAACCGTGACCTTATTCTCTTTGACAATACTCTTAGATTGTATTCAAAAGCGCATAGTGTGGGGTACATATCGGCACTAAATTTGAAACACCCGAGTAACATCTTAATGGATTTGGGTGTGAGTGTGGGTGCGAATGTGGCTGGGTGTAGGTGGATGTTGGTATAATTAAAAACCGATCCACACCCACACCCACACCAATCCGCTGCCAACTTCAAAAAAACATAATGCAATATTTATTTTTTAATTCCTACGATTTATTGAGTAATGAGGATTTTTGAATAGTCTGATCGTTGAAAAGTCTGTTCATAGGCTTTTATTTTGATATGTTTTAAAAAAATGAATTGAATGGTATCAAGTCAAAATTCAAGCAATTAAGAACAGATATTATCTATAAGTCTTTCCGAAAATAGAGAAAAAATTCAATCTTTGTGTTTGGGTTAAACTTCACATATTTGAACAGTACTTTCGAAGTTTGTTTGTGTCAATAAAATTTGGTACATTTACCTATCATTTAAAAAAAGATAGTTGACCAAGTTAGATAAAATTGCAAACATATGCAAAAAAAAATGAACTGAAAGAGTCTTTTGGAACACCCAATTAGGGTTACCAAGTGAAAAAGATGTCAGATTACATTCTGATTTTTTTGTATCAAAATGAAATTGATAATCGAGTGCAATCTTTTAAATTAACCGTAATTTGATTTCAATCAAAAATTATTGTTTTAATTTTTGATTGAAATCAAATTATAGTTAATTTGGAAGATTTCGATCGATTATCATTTTCATTTTGGTGCGCAAAAATCGGATTAATATTTGTTATAATCGGGTATAATCTGACATTTTTTTATTGGGTAAGGATAAGGTTAAGAATAGAAATGCGAGTTAAGGATAAGATTAAGGATAGGGGTAAGGATAGGAATAGGTGGTTAAGGATAAGGTTAAGAGATAGGCATAGGTAGTTAAGATAAGGTTAAGGATAAGGATAAGAATAGAAATAGATAACTAAGGATAAGGTTAAGAATACACTAATGATAGGAATAGGCGGTTCAAGATAAGATTGAGGATAGAAATAGGTAGTTAAGGATAAGGTTAAGGATAGAATTAAGAATAAAGTTAAGAATAGAAATAGGGATTAAGGATAGATATAAGAGTTAGGAGTAGAAATAATGAGCTAAGGATAGAAATAGGTCGTTAGATGTAGAATCAATCAGCAGCAGTAGACAAAGAGTCTCGAATGAATTGGTTTCTAGCTGGCTAGAACCATTTTTAAAAGAAAGAAAAAAAAGGTTTGAGATAGAATCGGACTATGCTCGAACCTTAAAAGGTTCTAAAAATGGTACCCAAATCTAGAACCTTTTATGGTTCAGTATGACATGTGTTTTTTTTACAGAGCACCCACCCACATTCACACCCTGCCACCATTGAAAGAATTTATGCAAATTTTGTTGTAGGTCTACTTTGAAATATATATTTCTGGCACATCAATCTTTTATCCTACGGTTTTTGTTGTAATACTATACGATATTGTATATCATCTTGTAATGAATAATTTCATTTTTTCCGCATGATTTTGGATGGTGAAGTAGTTTTTTTTGCAAGAGTAAAGAGGGAAAAGTTCAAATAACTGTTTGTTTCGAGAAAAAACAGAATATATATATATATATAGGAAGAGAGAAGACACAACTGAAAAATCCAGGAAAAAAACAACAGTAGAAGATGAAATAATGGTAGTGGTTCAGTCATGTCCAGCTGTCAGCGACATCTCTGAAGCAAAATGTTTTTGTTATCACTACTAATGAGATAGCTCAAAAATGGTAAAATGTTTGTCATTATGTTGATTATTTTCAATATTCTTGATGCTCAACCAATACCAGCTCCCAAAACTATACCATTCAAATCGCAGCGAACACGGACACGATCATGACGTACATCGCAGGTCGACATACTGTTTGAGTATAGTATTTCAACGTTGAGATCTGTTCGAAATACAATAAAGAACAATAATTACCACAATGCACTAATGACAAAAGTGAAAGGCATAAAATAGATCGAAAGATAAGTTGTCCAAACAAAAGCTTAAAAATAAATACGTCGAACGATGAAAACATTGTATGACACTTTGAAAAACACTGTCGAAAATGTTAACCAACAATGGGTCATATTATTCAGACGTAGATAAGGGTGTGAGAGTACGTATAGATGAATGTAACACATACACTCACATCTAAACCTCATCCCACTCTACACTCACAGCACACACCATGGCTATTGTTCTTTTTATGCCAATAATTGTATTACGCAAGAAACAGTAACCAAGAATATTGTAAGATAACGTTAGATGTACATAAAACACAAATTAATGGTAATTCGTCTATTTACTCTTTCCTTTTACCTTTCGACATTTTTATACGTTCAAGATTTTCATCATTCGACATTTTTTTCTATCTTTCGTGTTTCAATCTCTTCTAAATGTACCACAAGAGAAGAATAAAGAAATATTTTTACTTTCAAAATGAAACAAAGAAAGTTCATTAGAGGGCTGTTATTATCGACTTACCCGGATCGTCGCGTTTAATTTCTGCAACAGCCTCTCCGACAGGTTTGCCAACCAAATGTGACCATGATTTGAACTCCCGTCTTTGGTTTCTCGGTTCGTTCCTATAATATCATTTGAACCGTTTTTTTCTAATGAATTATTCATTTTTTCATGAAATCTTGAGAGTGAGGGTGTGATGATGGGGTTTAGCTATGGATGCGGCTCGATAAGACCGATATCATTCCAATTCTATCCGCATCCTCAAGAGGATCCTCTAGGTGACGATGAAATTGCGAGAATGGTAGCATAAATGCCTATCACTTACACCGGAGATGACATGCATATCATTCCCATGTGTTCGAATGCGATCGAATTGCGACGCAGTTACGCGTAACTGCGATTATTTTAGGAGTCAGTGAGACCACCGGTCGAAAGTCCTAAAATAATTCCAGCCCAATCCGAAAATTCTGCAGGCCAAAATTCATATAACCCACCCTTATTTCTCATTGTGTTCCTTTCAATTATGTCCGAAACAGTTTTTCAATCGCGTCATCTTTAGTTTTTCTTAGAGAATTTTCAAACCCTCATGATCCTTAGACACTCTCTATTCGAAATCAATTAATACTTGAGCTTATTAGATCAAGGTCTAGTTTTTGAATAAATTCGTCTTCATTTATTTAAAAGCTTTTATTTATTCTTGATTATTTAAAAATAATACAACACTCATCAAAGCTATAAATATATTAGAACATCATTGTCTTTTATTTCTCATTTAAATTTTTAATAAAAATCATCCTGTTGCTTCCATATTTATCACTTTTGCATGCACAAATAAAGTTGCTGTTGTTGGAGAATTATGTCTATCAAGTAATCGAATATGTCGATATCCTTTAACAAAAAAGAAATAAATATATATAAATTTCTATTATTTATTTACCAGATTGCATTGAAAGAAATGGAATTGAATATTGACCAAGATCCGTATTACTTTTATCACTATCTTTAACTGAAAATCTTATAAGACATAATTCTGGAATACAAATTGAAAATTGCATTAAATGATTCCAAATTGGATTTAAACCATTTGTTAATACAGCTGAAGTCTTTTGTTCATTTTGATCTAAAAACAAATCAAATTCGGACCAATTATTATTATTATTTTTTTGTTGTTTCTTACCACAACGAACACCATAAATTTTTACTTTGACAAATGGTGATACAGGTGATGTATCATGTTGATTTCGTTTTGGTAAATGTTGTG